GACGCGCTCTCAGAAATCTCAGTCGCTTGAAAGTCCATTTTAATTTCACAGGAAGTTTGTTGGGGTTTCTCCCCCCCCCCCCTCTTTTTTTTTTTTTTTGGAGATAGTGTTTCTGAACTCAGGGAATGGAGACCGGTCATTTACAGGAAGTGCACGGACACTTTGTGGTTGCTCCTCTTCTTTCTTTTCTGGGCTGGTTTGGTAAGCATGCTTTTTTTTTTCTGAAAGAAAATTCAGATCCAAAATCAACGCGGTTCTGAGCGGTGGTATGCGAAATCTAAACTGAAATTACCACAGGCATGGGGTGGCACGGGGACAGATCTGACCTTTGTGGTGGTGCGCTGCTTTATTGCAGTGTTACACAAACGTTTTGACCACATGCTTTAGAAGCCATGCATGTCAGGGCTGGGTTACTGAGAACTTGCGTTTTTGTAAATTAGTCCGGGCTCTGACTGAGCACTTATTTCTACTTATTCATTGTAGTCTTGTTATCTTGCAACATGTTGGTCTGAAGTTATATCAAGTCACAGGCTGTCCCGTGCTTAGAACAGCATGTAAGCTTTTGGCAACAGGCTTTGTCTTTCTTAAGTATGAATGCCTTTTTCATGAGATGTCTGAGGCTACTCAGGATTCTTGTGAATACACTATTAATTTGTTTTCAATTCAATTCCTAATAACTCTTTTAATGGAAGCTAATGCAGAGGAATACATACACATTTTCAACACTAAATAAGCTGAACTTTGTGAACAGGAGAGGTTTTTTTACATGCTGTCTTATGCTTAGTGCTTTGGTAGTGGAGGGAATGCAAAAAAGTAAACCTGTCAAACAGTGAGGATTTAGGATTTTTGCTTGTTTTGTCTCACTGTTTTTATTGCTCAGTGTCTGTGAAATAGCTAATTGCAGACACGTGTTTGTTTTCTTTTCTTTGATCTTACTTTTAGAAGATTAAAAAAATTTTGGTGATACTGATTTGTTCACATAGTGAAAAAAAGTTGAAACTACGTTAATAACTCTGTGGAAATGCTTATCACTGGCGTTTATAGACACACCCCTCCAGCAGTCATACAGCCATCTATTACTTAACAACATTTATGGCTTTTATCCAGCATTCTGCACTTTAAAAAAAAAAAAAAATCACATGTACACAGTATTTGCCATACTGATGGCCATCTTTAGAAGGAGTGCCGGAATTTTTCTGAAAGCATATTTCAGGTTGAGTTACAATGCCAGCTCATTTCTCCTTTTTCTTCTGAGAACAATTTAATTATTAACAAATATTTGCTATGTAAATAAACTGGATCTGAAAATATTTTGTTAAATTTAGGAAGTATCACATACACAAGTAGTATGTCTACTTTAAGTGTGGAGTCTCTGCAAAGATCTCCACATTGAGATTGTATTAACATGCATTCATAATTTAAAAAAAAAAACATTATTTAACTAGTTACACTGCAAACATATAAGGGAAAATGAGACTACACTGTGGACTAAGGGAGCACATACTTAGATGTTACTTATGAGTCTCTGGTTTTGCTCAAATCCTGTCTTTAGACACAAGTGTTAAATGTAGAACAAAGGCTCTAAACGCTTTAAGAAAGCAGTTGTGCTGGATCTGATACCTGCAATCTGTCTCCAGCACAGCTGATATTCAGCAAAGTAGTAGGGGTTAATGTGGGACTGAGAAGGCTTGCTGCTGCCAGCAGCTGGTATGTAGCCACAGAGCGGAGTGGATTGTCCTTTGGTGCGTGTAAAACGTTGTTTACACCCCATGGGACAGAGGAGATGATTGAATCACTGAGTTCTTCAATAGCTGGAGTGCTGTAAATAAGCCTTCAGATAAAGTCATGCCCAGGATTTCACCAACTTCCCAAAAGAAGAATTACTGCTTCTTGGCACGTGGAAAGTTTCTTTTCAAGGGGCATTTTGGCCCTCATGGGTTAAAGGAGCAGGGTTTAAGCTGTATTCCTAGGCAAGGTGTTTTATATTGACTAGGGGTTGCTGCTACTTGGCCAACAGAGATGCTTAGCTGCTCCTCGGGTTTACAGGAAGCAGATTGCTGGAGCTTTGATCTGGCAGCAGGGCATCTAAAAGATCAGTGCAATGTCACCAAGTCTGCAGTGTGGCTCTCTCCAGGTTTTTCACGTGCATTAAAGAATTCATCTTCCTGAAATTTCAGGTAACCTGCATTTTAATTGCACTTCATGTGCTTAAAATATGCCTCTGATTAAACTCACTAGCAGCTGCAAGGACTTAGCATTTCAGACGATATATTGCCCAGGTGTGTCTTGAAGGGCACCCTGAAAAATGAGAAGCAGTAGGCATGTGAAGAATTGCCATTTGAGCGACCTTGCCTAGTGACACACACGAACTTCAGTGGAGGCAGTGTTTAGTACCTTACTGCTGCTTTCCTATTATTTTAATTAGGGCCCCTATCTTTCTTCTCCTGTGATACTCTGCTTAATTTGTATACTTTGAGCAATAGACGAGGGAAAGCTCTAAGGAGGCAATAGGGCTGAACTCATCCATATGGCTTGCTCCGGCCTTGTGCAGAGGGGTAAATTTTAGATTTAACTGTTTGCATCCATAAGACAAAAATGCCTGGATTAAAAGGATTATTTATTGAATGGGAAGGAAAAGCTATTGTAGCATGATTTCACATTAAAAAATATTTTAACAGATGTTTATAACTGGCTATGCTGTGATGGCTGGTGCCGCAGAAAGACTTGTGCTTGGATATGACAGCTTTGGGAACATATGTGGTAGGAAGAACACTGCTGTAAAAGGAGCACCCCTTTCTGGACAGGACATGACTAATAAAAAGTAAGTACATCAGATATGTCTAAATAAATCAAATGCTTGAGAACTTAATAAGATGCACGTCTTTTAGTTGTCTATCATACACATACGTGTATATATACATGCTTATATTGAAAGGCAAAAATAGGTGTGAGAATGGTGCAAAATAGTGAGTGAAACCAAAAAGTTAAGATATAATTTGAAAATGTGCTACGTTGTTATGCTTTATGCTGCTGCCTTCTAAAATAAGATCTGAAATAGTACTTTGGCCAAATCAGCTTCATTCTGTACAGCAAAACTTTGTACTTAAGAAGTTACATGTTGAAGTTTCCAGTCATTCCATCAACTCCCATGAATTAGTCCTTGTAGAATGGCACCCACCTTGGCAGCTTCTGATACCATTTAAGAACATAAAATGAAGTGTAAAAATGTAGCATATTCTCAAATAGCTCCTTAACTTCTGGCTTCAAACTCCATTTTTTGCCAATATATGTGGAAAAAGAGTTTCATTTGCTTTGTAGCGCTTTAAAAAGATGGAAAGAAGGCTCAGAATTTAAACCCACAAAACCCAGAAATCTTGTTTTTTGAAAAGAGGATCTTTTTTTCTTTCTAGGTATGTGTTCTTTCTGAATTCATGCAGCCTGGAAACACAAAGCCTCAAAATCAGTTCAGTTTCCTTGTGCGTGTCTAGTTGTCCACAAGAGCAACTCAACTCTTTGGAAGACCTCCAGAGTTTTGCAAGGAATAATGGTGTGCAACAGGGAATATGAATATCTTAGTGTATCTGTAGAACAGCTGAGCAACTTTCACTTTGTTATTCTTATGTTTGCTACGCTAGGGAGCAATTTCTTACCATTAATTTCCTGAGCAGTCCATGGCAACAGAAAATAAAATGTCTTGTTTCTGCTTTAGGTCAAAGCCATAGTTTCTCGAAATGTTACCACTCTCTTATGCAAATTCAACAATTGTTGATTAATTCCTGCACAATGCTGAGATTATTCAGCAGAAAACTTGCTGCTGAGAATGACCTAGTGTAGTTTGGTGGGGGTGCCAGTAGGTGAACAGAGCTCATATGCTATTTGAGAAACTTGTTCAACTGGTTCTTTTAAATTTAATTAAAGCTGTGCTGAAATTATTAATTCCAGAGACACACAAGTTTTTTTATCCCTTTATACATCAGATCCCAAAGTTTGCTATTCATTCCATTATTTTTTTTTTTATTTTATTCTAGTGTTCAAGATGGGTATGATGTCAGAAATAGCTGTTGTGCAAAAGAAGCAGCTCCAGTTCATTCATGTCTAATATGTAAATAAAATAAGCTGTAGCCTACCCCTTATTCCATAGGGTATGGATGAACTGCAGACCATATGAATATTAGCTGCTAATTTTATCGGAGGTCAGAATTCCATTCTTTGTTGTTCTGTTTGTCAAGGATTGCTATTAAAATTGACAACATACTAAATTACATTTTGGGGTATTCTACCATCGTTTGGCGTGTACAGAAAGCTGCCAACACCTGTGATACTATATGAGTATTTTCAGTGTAACTGAATATAATTGCATGAATTTCCATCTACACGCTTTGACTGCTTGCATGTTTATCTCGAGGGAGGGGGCAGTATTGCATTTTGAATGGCTTGAATGTGTGCAACCTTTCTTTCCCAGAAGAGTTGTAAAATGGAGCAGAGTCTTATTAGCAGAGTACCTGATAATATTTTGCCTAGAGCCAAGAAAATGTGGATTTTCTGGATACATACATAGTCTGTTCTAAATCGTGAGAAGCCTAGTTCTATTGTAGCTTCTGTCATTTTAGGCTTTTCTTTACCTTAGTCTAGAGCTGAACTGTCACGCTGTGGAAAAAACAGTGTGCCTGCCCTCCAGTACAATCAGTAAATGGTAATTACAGCTAAGTCTAGAAGGCAAAAGATTCTACAGAAGCTGCTTTAGATTTACACAATTAACTCATTTGTTATTTACGTTCCCACTGGAATATCAGGGATGAATATGGCTTGCTAAGGGATCGAAGCAGAAGTGTAAACAAAACCTAATTGATAATGTGTTTTTCTCTAAAACTTTAACTAATGTTACTTTTTTTTTTTTTACCTTCTTAGGTTCATGTCTTTGCGTTTACAACCTGGATGTTTCCAGTTACACACTAAATCCAAAGGCAGCTGAGCTGTGTCCCACACTGCCAGTTCCACCAAGGTAGGAATTACTGGGTACTTTACAATACCCTTGAGTCCAAACAGCTGCTTAAGGATCGGTCCTTCCTCAGGCTTTGTGTTTGACTGGGTGCTTTACAGTCAGAATGGGTTTGCTCTGTTTGTTTATTTTTGTGCGTGTATCCTTATGAGCCTGGGAAGGCACCAGTGTCTTGTCCCACAGAATGAGCATTCCCTCCATTCTTCTACCCTTTAGTGGTTCTTTTTTCCTCTCAAAATATGGGGAAAAGCACTCCATGTGAAGGAGCAACTTATCTCCTGCACAGATTTTGCTCTCTCCCTCAATGCCAAGGAAGAAGAGCTGTGGTCTCCAGCCTTGCTTATTATCCTGGACCCAGAAATTTCCATCAGAATCATTTTGTAGCCAGCTGGCTTGAAGCACAGGTCTGTGGATAGCGCTGTCTTTAGCATTTGGCATTGTGAGTCAAAATCCATAAACCCATGCTTTTAAATTCCACTGTGTCATGAAAATACAGCAAAGAACTGGAATCTTCACGTTTGCAGAGTTAAGTCATCTGCTCTGAACCGGACAAAAAGGGAAAAAAGCAAACAGAAGAGAGCAGGAGACACATAAAAACGTTACATAGAGTGGTTCAAAGGAGAGCATGTAAATTGATGAAAAAATATGGCATGTTTTACTTATTTCTTTGGCTTTTTAGGCTTTTTTTCTGTTTGGCAAGGAACTCAGCCAAGTTATTCATCTTGCACAATGATATTTCATAGTAGAAGCAAAGCTAGTCTGAGAAGTTCTTTATATTGATGAACAAACTTCTCCTTTTTAGGACTGTGTCTTCGACTGTTGTAGTGCAGCATTGCCAAAGTGGGACAATAAAACATATTCCAGAAGTTTGTCTGGGAGTGCCAAATAATTTCACATGTAAATACTTGATGGTGTTAATTGTACCTTACAAACATTGTTTTGATGTGGCTTTTAGAATGCTTAAATATCACAAAAATGATGCAAAGCGTTTGTGGTCTGGAATTATCTACAAGGAGGTAGCTTACAGCTGTGTTAGCATGAGTTTAGGTTTTACATAAACACATGGGATCAAAGCAGGTGAAGCCAGACTGGAATGGGAATAGGAGCTGCGTGCTGATGGTGATCGAGATAGCAGTTCATGTTTTCTCCCTGGTTGATCTTGAATGGGTGTTCTGGTACAGTGATACAGGCATGATGCTTCTAGGAGTTTATTTGGCAGATGAAACATAAAACTGCCATTTGTAACGGCCCATTCCCATGCCCAGTGCCCTCTTCTGTCAGACCCCATGTGCGAGGTCCCCCATCCAGTGAGGATGCCTGCCAGGTCACAGATCACACTGGCCAGCTGTGGCTTCAAAACTGTGCTGAGGATGCTGGTAGGGAACTGCAGAGGGCTTCAAAGAGAATGGTGGAATGGATCTCTGTGGATTTTAAACTGTTTTTCTAGTAATTAATATTTTTTACCATCTTTGTTTTTAACCTTCCAGTAAATCTTTTCCATTATTTAATCGATGTGTTCCACAAAATCCCGAGTGCTATTCCAAATATGCATCTGTCTTAATAAGTATGGTCAATGAAATGGACGTTTTTCACCGAATTCTGAGCGGAATATTGGCAGGAAGAGATACTGTGATAGGACTGAGTTTCCTTGCACTAGGTAAGGTTATAAATTAGGAGTGAGTGATGATATTCAGTTAAAACGTGAGGTTTCAAATGTTATAAAATTAATATATTAAACTTTATATTTTTAATTTAAAAGTTATCTTTTTCATCTATTCTGGACAGAGTTGTTTTTAAGAAAAAGTGATTGTGTTTTATCAGGAGGCATGCAATAGACTGATGAAATACAGCTATATGAAATACCAGATTCTGTGTTTCTTAGTATGATCACATGCCTCAATTCAAGGGACCATAAGAAATTGTTGATGGAAGAAAAAAAAAAAAGGCATCAGCATGAACATTTAAACTTAAATCTTATACAAAATATCATTGAAAATGATAGGAATTCCCAAGATGAAATATTTTGATTACAAGCTCATTATTAATAAGTTATAAGTAACTGTGTCTTTTAAATGCTAAAAAAGTCTCCAGGTTTACTAAATGCTGTTGCTTTTGAGACCACTGCTTAAAAATAAAAGCCCAAAATTCTGCAAGGACCTTAAGTTTATCTTAAAAGTAAATACAAGTTAAATGGGTTGTAACACTCATAAAAACATATTTTGTATATTTTTCAGCCTTCTCTTTTATACTGGTTTTAGCCTTCAGATTCATTCGGACCCTTCTGGTCCACACCTTGATTGCACTGGTGTTGTTTGGGCTGTTATGTAAGTATATTTACCTTTTAGCTTAGTAAAATAGATCATCTGAGGAGAGGCAGCTGAACAAACAGCTATCCTTTTGCTCCATGGCCATCCTCAGTAACCTTAAATTTACCGCAGCCATTTCCAAGCTGAGCCCTGCTTGCCGTTGGGTGCCAAGGTCTGGCTGTGCTGTTGCAGCTGCTGAGTGTTGAGATGATGATTTTGGGGTTTTTATAGATGTCTGGAACCAAGAGTTCTTTTGGCAGATGAATGCAGTCAGGAAAATGCTACTGTTTCAAAGACAGTTTAGTGAAGTTTTACGTTGCCTACTTTGGGAAGGAAGAACTATAGGAATGTGTCCAGCTGAAGCTTGTCATTTCATAGAAGTTAGCCTTGTGTCTCCTTGATGAAATTGCTGGCCTGAGCTTTAGCATAACTGCAAGGAAATAAAATGTTCTGCTGCTGTTTTACCTCAGGCTAACAGACCTGAGTTTTCCTGGTGATCCCTGGCGCTGTGCCTCTCTCCAAGGGGACAGTACTCCTGAGCAGAGGCTGGGCTGGGTGGAGGGCGAGCGGCTGGGGGGCAGCCGGGTACCACTGCCCACCTTCACGCTGCTCTTCTGTGCTCAGTTGTCTCAGGTGTTCTCTGGTGGCTCTATTATGACTACAGGAGTGATCCCAGCACAGAATTGGAAACAGAAAAGGAAAACGTAAGATTTCTACTTGGATATGCTATCTTCTCAACAATAGTTACTGTAAGTAGCCTTTTATCCTAAGCAATGGCAGAGGCTGTAACTTGAAAACTTGAACTGCAGAGATTCTGCAACAGTAAAAATAATTCCTCATTCCTTCCACATTTGAAAATGAGATTCAATTACAAGATCTGCTTGCACTCATTTAAATAGTTTTATAACTTCATTGTGAAATCTGTTTGTCAGCAGAGGGCTCTGCCACACTTCAACCCTGTACAAATGGTGTTAGCATTGGTGCTGTAGAAGTGCAAGAGTTGTGTTCCATCCCCGTTCTTCTCTGCATCAGCTACATGAAGAATCACTGTAGAGTGAGAAGAGGGCCACTGGCTTGATATGAACCTGGGGTCTGTGGATTCAGCCTACCCTCTCAGTAGGGGAAAGGGGTGACAGCTCATTTAGACAACAAAAAGGGTAGTGAAGCACAGGCAGCAGTGTCTAGGCCTCAAGTTATGGGGTTAAATTCTACTTTTCTCTCATTGACCTTGTTTTCCAACAGAAAATCTGAGTGTGGCTTGCAGCTTTTAAAGTGATTTTTTCACTCTGATGTTGCAATGTTAAAGGAGTCATTGCTCAATATGAGTGTACAGACAATTTGTACTTCACGGCACATTTGTCAAAGTGATTGTTCTTCTGTTTTCTTAAAGCAGAATAGGATCCATAGACTGGAATTCACCAGATATAAACAGTCTGTTTACAGTGACTAATATAAATGTGTCACAGATCAGATGGTTTTTTATATCCTCTGTAAGTTATAACCTTTTTACTTCTGTTGATACTAAAGGGGTAAGAAAAGGTTCCTCTGTAGCCATGTGTGTTCCAGTGCAACTGACTGTCATTTGCAGAACTGGGAACGTCCACTGCTGCAGGTCACATTTCTCTTCAGAGCTGGTGGCTTCTTTATACAGCAGGCAGGAAAATTAGTGAAGCAGCTGCCACTGGTTACATTTATTACTTTATAGATTCGGACCTCTTAATTCTTTAATTCCTGTTCATAGTTCCTTGTCTTGTATGAACAACTGGAGACATTGTGTGGATTTTTACTCAGGGTTTTGTTGGTGGGTTGTTTTTTTTTTTCTACTTTGGGAAAAAATAATTTATTTAAATTAAGTTTCGTTTTATGTCTGCTTTGCTTCCATACAGCTCTCACATTGTGCTACTGTCCTTTTCTGCAGAAAAGGAGTGGTCCTCCTACCATTGTGAACAGTGGCAAACTGACCTGAGTAGGAAGAGAGTTTAAATGTTAGACATACAGGGCACATGAAAGCAATGTGTGGCATATAAAGTACATATGTGTACTTTACACAAAAAATGTGGTTTGTGTAAAGCAAAACAGACTGTTTTCATTGGATGAATGACAATTTTATGAATCCTCTTTTGTTTTAAAGAAACAGTAGTAATGATTTCAGGAAATCAGATTTTAATCCACAGGCTCTTTAAGAATATAGGTTTGTCTCAGAAAGCTTTTCCAGTGCACAATAACTTTGTGTAAAATGCCTTGTTGTCATGTCTTTGTGAAATCTGTACCCCCTGATCTCATATTTGACAACTTTGATGCTTTTCTTAAAGAAAAACCCCCCCAAAATTGTCTTTTTGTTTCCTGCAACAGGTTGTTCTGCTTTCCCTTATACTTGTACTAAGAAAGAGGCTTCAGTTCACTGTACAACTCTTCCGGATTGTTGGTAAAATCATTGGCAGAATTCCTTTCCTCCTGTTCCAACCACTCTGGACCTTTCTGATTCTCATTGTGTTCTGGCTATTTTGGGTTGCTGTACTGCTTAGCTTAGGAACTGCAGGTAAGTATATGCTTTCCATATTTTCAGATGAATGCTATCTGTTTCCTGAGTTCACTGCTTAAATACAGGACCTCCTGGTGTTAGTGTACAAAATGTGGGCTACCATTGTTACAGACCTGTGTTACTCTTTCCTTTTTTTGTTTATTTTTTCCCCCCACTTGTTGGAGTCTTCAACATTACCAAACTTAGGAGTCATAGCACTACAGAAGAGAGATTTTTGCTCCTATATATGGACTTTAGGTTTTTTTCTTTCTCAGTTACTTAATTTGTCATTAGATTGTGGTAGATACAGTATATGTTTGATGTATTTAAATGAAAAAAAGTAACAGGAGGGAAGAGAGAGCTTTTAGTGCAGTTGTTACGAAATGAGAATGTTAATCTCCTCTGACTATAAACAATGTCCAAGTGTCGTGGAGGCAGAACGTTGTTTCTGAGCGGTAATTTGGTGACAGCTGCTGTCATTACTTAGACAGGTACAGCAGTATTTGGATTAATTCAGCGGTTCTTGCAGTTGTAGGGGATGAGCTCTGTAGAGCATAGTCAATCAATATGAAGGATCTGCAAGAACAGATTTTGGAGTATGGAAGTGGTGTTACTGAGGGACATACCACTATAAGATCTGTCTTTGATTGAACCAGGGTGATTTGCTTGCTATCTCTTGGCCCAGCATCACACCATCCAAGGGAAGAGGAGGTTGTTCTTCTGTGCAACGTCACCCAAAGCAGGAAAGCTAAGTTGTGTAGCACTGCTGGTAACTTCTCCTGCAGACATCAGCCTTTGGACCTAGGAAGCATTATGATTTGGAGGTTGGATTTTTTTCATTTTAAATTTCTAGGGCCACTGCTAGGAGTCAGTTGTTGTCTTTTGGGCCTGAGCCAATGCAGAATTGATGTGGAGAGAGACAGTTGTTTGTTGTTCCCATATTTATTCATGGGTTTTCTGTTTTCTGAGTATTGTCAGGAAAACCAAACACAGCCTAGCTCTTCAAATGCTTATGTGTTACCATTTTATCCCGTGTTTCCACCACTGCTTGAGATGGTGGCTGCAGTAATTCTGTACAGACTTACAGATCCCTGCTAGGCCAGAAAAGCCTCCAGTCTTTCTGTAGCTGAGCCCGTTTGGCAAAACTGGCAGTATTGTCCACCTCTGTGGGTCAGGTACCTCACTCTTCTTCCATCACAACTGCTTCCATCTCAGTCTCACCCTGTTAGTTCTGGCTCTGTATAAGACCCACTTCACTTGTAACATGAGAGTCCATCTTTCTGAGTCCATGCTGGTGTTGCAAATCACTCACCCATTGCTTGGGATAAAGGAGGATCTGTTTCCAGCTTTCATTGGAGAGCCATGCACGTTTACCAGGGTCTCTCTCTTTCTGCTGCCTTTCCCCCAGTAGCTCATGTCTGTCAGAAATGGCTGCTTGAAGCACTTTTCTGGCTGATAGCCTACTTCTCCTGCAAGATGTTCAGACCTAACAAGGCAGAATATCCAACCTACAGCCTCTTTGTGAGTTGTTCGTGACTGACTGAATACTCAAGCAGATTCACTTTGCCTTAAGTGTCATGGATATTCCTTCTCCACACTCCTCTGGGTTGGATTTTCCCTTTATGGAGGCAGCATTATGTGCTAGACACAGCTTTGTGTGGGTGTTAGCTTCTCTGCAAAAATCTTCATCCTGTTTATGCGCCTGTCTGCCAGGCAGCAGAAATTTTCAAACTGGCCTTGTGGGGCACCTTATCACTGGTTCAGACCAGCCCTTTAGAGAGAGGAGCATCTCCTGAGCTATCAACCAACTGTTTGTTTCATGCACCTGCTTGGATCAGATGCAATAAACTTTAACTACAGTAAATCTAGTAGCAGGTGAATAAAATCAATGCTAACACACAGATATGCTAAATGTATCATTAAATATATAATTAACAAGAACTATTCAATGAAATATTACATCCTTTATGTTAAGCTGTACCCACAGGAATATTCACTGGTACTCTTAATACACACATGTAAGGATGTGAAGCTGCCCTTGTTAAATCTAAATTTAGAAAATGCCAGGTGAGTCTGTTGTATTCAAAAGCTTTTGGAAATGCAGCAAACGTTAGAAGAGTAGAAATATTTTAGCTCATATGACAGAAACAGCTTGATGATAAGTGCAGGATGGGGAACCAGTCAGGTATTTCCTGGATGCTTTTACAGACTTTGCAGGAAAGTAGCGACTTGCGCATTGTATCCGAAAGCAAATTCCACATGTATTCACAGGGAAATAAAACCCAACAAAAACTGCCTTTGAGAGGCTTTTTATGCTTTTTCCATGTTGTGCCATTTTCTTTTGTGGGTTATGTTCTCTGTTTCCTGCTAGACGTTTCCATTCAAGCTTTTTTTTCTACCTACTTGGAGACTAGGATTCAAACAGTTTATGACCTGCTGTTACATTCATAGTGCAGCACACGTCTTCTGGCTCAAAGGTATTTTATTTTTTGTCTTCTTCATAGCATAATGGGAATGCTGATGTTTCCAGCGAGTGATTCAAACAGTACAGTACAGAAGGCAGCATAACCTTGCTGCACAGATGTTAAAGATTCTAGGACGTTCTCAGTTTTGGAAAAATTGACTTTTGGCAGATTTAGCATAAGAAGGGAAGGTCATTTCCAGGCACTTAACTGTCAATATATTGCTCATATGAGGAATCTAGGAAAACATATGTTTTGACTGAGATTTTCTGCCAGGATATTTTTAGTGTAGATGTCATTCCTTGTAAGATTTTTCTGTTAACAGTTAGTGTGTTAATATTTAGAAGAGAATGTGTGTTTGATAAGTAAAATCCAAACCAATTCTAAGTTACAACCTAAGCATGAATGTGGATAGCAAAATGCCACTCTACGTATTCAATTATTTTTCTTGTTAAAACTCGATTCTATTAATTTTATCATGTGTATTTTTAATTATTCTTTTTGTTAAACTGTGTCTTTTTGTTAAACGGTGGCTGTTGTTATCCAACAGGTGTAAACAGAGTTCTTAACGAAGTCCAGGGGCTCAGGGGTTTATGTAAATGACCTGTAGCAGCATCAGTGCCCACTAGGTGCCGATAAAGTCGTGTGGGAAAGTTTCTTCTGAATCTGCTCAGTTGTTTACAGCTGCTCTGATTACAGAGTAACTCCTCCCGAGAGGAGTTTGAACACAACAAAGGCAATTTTAGCCTTTTAATGACCTGGGGAGGTAGTGAAGGATTGTTTTATCCAGCTCTCTGAGGAGGTTTGTCGAGGTGATACAGGAGGTCAGAGTCAGCAAGAAGTATGATAGTTGTTTGGATTTCCAGACCTGTACTCTGCCTTGTATTTGTTTTTGTAGTTCAAAGCTTGGACAAATGAACAGTCGACTAGATTAGGTTTTGAGAATATTCCTTTAGCTTTTATTTCAAATTTTCAACCCAAATATGAGTCCTCTGAAATGCTGCCTGCTAAAATAGTTTACAGTAAGGCAGCTCGTTGAGGGTTGTTTTGCTGTTCTAGGATGACTAGTACTTACGCAGCCTGTAAAAATAAATAAATATAGTACTATATGGTTAATAATGCATTGGTGGAACAGCTTGGTATTTTCTACTATTTTTCTATAATGACGGTATAAGTGGATTTTGATTTTTGGGGACTTTTTGCAACAGCTGAGAGCACTTCTCTGAAGACATTCCAAGATAAGCTCTCTTTGAGCAATTTGTTTTCTCCAATGACAAATAGTTAGTTCCCTATCCAGGATTCAGTTTGTTTGGTGGTTTTCTTGGTTTTGACACTTTGACTTTTTATTCTTTCAATTGTATTTTCTGGACTATGTAGACTATATTTTAAATGCAAATACAGCAAGAAAGCTGAAAAAAATGAATGTTTACAATGACACTACTCTTTGTCTAATACAGATAGATGGCAAGTGAAGTTGGCTTGCTGCTGTGCTGCACCTGTTCTTAACATTTTCCTTGCATCTTCACTAGTTACATATAATATTTATAGTGTCTCTGAATCTTACAGCTCTGGAGCACTTGATCCTCCCTTCAGCTGTGGTGCACCTGATCGTTATGTGACCACACAGACACCTTATTTACATCCCCTCCAAAAATTGGTGTTACTCTGACAAAAGATTAACTTCCTGGGAGCTATAGAAAACTATAGCCCACACTTGGAAAAGGTTCTTATGCACATGACCAACTTGAAACACATGGGTAATCCTATTAAAATCAGTGGGGCTACTTATGCATTTTAAGGTAGGCACCTGCTTAAGTACCTTGGTAATTCAGAATGTATAAGATCAGCAGAGGTGGAGTGAATTCCAGAGCAAGAAAACTAGGGGAAATGCCAGACTCCACGAGACTGGAGACAGCACAAAGAGTGGCACCAGTTAGAACCATTAGCTGGCTAGGAATGGAATTCAGCTGTGCTTTGGAAAAGCTGATATGTCTGAGAGTTATTGAGTCTTATTGTTTGCTAATTTGTGCGGCATTTCACTGCAGAACTGAAGTGGCCAAGTGGCGCAGCAAAGCATGTCTTTCAACTTTCCAGCAAGCAGGAGCCGTGAAGTCCACACGGCATAAATACTGTAACGTGGGATGAGAAGGCAGTGTGAGATTTTCATGTAATGAAGGTGCATCCTGCAGGCAAGTGAGCAATAAAACTGCCACATAAAGCTGTGCAGTAGCAAAACCAGCAATAAAAATCTTTTTCCTGTAGGGTCCTTGACATTCCAATTACAGTGAGCTAGCTTAGCTGTAAATACCACTGCATGGAAAAAAGCTAAATAAAATAACACAATAAATTATGTTACAGGAAGCATGAAGATTCAGTGTATGATGCCAGAACCTTTCCTCGCTTAGCAGTGGGAAGGGCCCATCATATTTTCATGTTAACAGGAACTGATAAACAGGGTCTTGGTATTTTCTGGTCAGTGGCTCTTTGTTTCCTATAAGGAAATTGCTGAACTAGACTTCCCAGGAATTTTTGTCCCGTACAACAGCCTGCTGCTCCAGGCATCAGCAGCAGTTACTGAGTAAAAGCATCTGAAAGTGCTAAAATAGAGCAAATGGTGCTGCATGTGCACACTGACTTTTGTCTCGTCGCGTTGCTGTGTGGCTGACATCGCGGCACGGCGCCGGGCTGCAGAGCCGGGTGGGGAAACTCTTCTGAATTCTGCTGCGAGCACTTGTGCCTGTTTGCACTGTTAACAACACTTCTTTGAAGTATTTGCAGCAGATCAACATCTGTACTGATCAGAGGTTTTTAGATTTGGTGATTCAGCTGTCGGGACTTTGGTACTTTACTGGCTTCTTGATGTTATCACTAAGATTGCACAGTACACCAGGAAGACTTGTGATTGTGTGGTTGCAGAAAAATATTCTGTTAATAAAACAAACTGTATTTCAGGGATTTATTGAGAAAATTTAGCTTGTGTGAACAGAGAGTTCATGGTGCAGTGGTGAGGAAAAAGGCATATACTTCTCTCAACAGGGTGTCTAGGATAGCTTTTAAGTTTATCTGTGCTTCTAAGACTGACACACGAAAAGCAGCATTGCGTGTAACTCTGTTAACAAAATTATGCATGCATGGTAGGCCCAGAAGACAGGGAACCAGTCAGACAAAGATGTTTCTATTGGTAAACAGGTTTCTGTGAAGTAACAAAGACAATTTACCTTACCTAGAGAGCAAAGTGATCGAACTCACAGGTGGATGTGCCTGATTTCTGTGCAGCAGAGCACAGTGCTGTGCACATCCACATGTAGAAAGTTGGCCATAAAACCATTACTGGTGTTACTGCAGGTGGTTATTTCAGTAGGCTGGTAAAAAGCAAACAGTTTACTGTACGTACATTCATCAGTCTTCATGAAAAAAACACAGAAGCAAAGCCTGAAATGGGATTGTATGGTGGAAAATGTGCCTAATTCTGCTACCAAATGGTATAATGTCACTGCGTAAAACTGAGGAGGTAGGAGACCTTCTTGTATCTCATTGACCTATCATTTGCATAATTTCCCTCGGTAAGGGCTGTAGGTGGTGGTTAACAGTCATACTTGGCTAGTTGTGTGGGCTGCAAGAAAATGGCAATCTAGACCCTCCAAACCTGCAAGTTGCATCCAAACTTAAAACCAGCAGAGAAGAGATTTGAGATATGAGTAGTAGGTTTTTCACACCATCAAGTATCTTGCATTTCACAGGCCTAAAATACATTTGAATATAATGGAAGCAACAATATTTCTGTGAATGACCAACCGTACAGCACTGCAAAGAGCTTGCCTGGTTAGCTAAAATTTCCTTTCAGAAAATAAAATAACCAGAACATATGTCTGTGTTTGCACTTTAGCAAAGGCTGCCTTGAAGAACAAGTCTGATATAGTACCTACAAACTCCTCCTTGAGGCCAGCTGTACTGTGTTGGCGGATGCAATTCTTGATTACAAGAGTGCTGAGAATAAGATTGACTCAGTTCTGGGAAGAATGCTTAGTTTGTAGGATATAAATCTATTCATAGACTTAGTCTTTTCTTCTTTCCTTTGAATAGTGAATAGCTCTTCTCTCAGCGTCTAAGACGGATGAGTTTCTGTAGTGTTAATGTTATAGGAGTAAAATAATTCAATTTATTTTATGCAGATACGTATTTAAGCTAACCATACAATAATTATGCACCTATGTAGCATTTTTGATCCTTTTAAAGCACTTTAGAATAATTTTGCACTGCTGCTATGGGCTAGATGAATATTTTTTATGATTTACAGACAAACGGACCTTGGTTCTAAAGATGTATAAAGCTTGTTTATACCTGATGGTATTGCTGAAGGCAAATCTTTATTGTTTCTGCTTTTAGCTATTCTCAAGTATGAACGTTGTGGCTAGAGGAAAATAGGACAGAAATAAAAGAACCATTTCATAGATAGCTTTGTATCTGTGGTAGTTTTGAACTTGAAGGTGGTGTGCTGTCCTGTGGGAGAACATGAAGTATTAAACCTTAAGTAATAATGCTGTTCTAGCAGTAAAAGACAATTCTATGTCTCACTTTGTTTTTTCTTTTGTGGAGTTAGAATAAGAAACTACTCACCTCCAGAGATCATTTTATTCTTTGAACATGTTTATCTTTGAGGTTAATAGACCTAAGGCCTAGTAAACTAAAAAAATAGCAGGTTATGGACCTAGAGACTTTTCGCTAGGAATAAATGTCTCAATGGCATTATCCCCTGACTGGACTTCAGAGTCAAGTGGCATAAATAGAATTGCACAGAGAAAAGTCTGATTGCTAAGTTATCTGAGTTACCCCCACCTTTTGTGAAAAGCCATCTATTGAATTGGAATAAATTCTTTGCTATTAACAGAAGTGGAGGGAATTATATTTTTTTTTAGCTTGAATAATTGAATTAGTTAATGTTCCTGAATACAGTAGTAACACTGGAGCATATACTGCCATACAGATGTCAGCGCTGTGTCCCTGTATTTTGCACAAAGATTGCAAAGTATAGAGAACAGAAAACTACTTGCAATGGTTCTAATTAGTAATAGTAATTAGAATAATAATTTTTCTTTGCAGTGGTATGTTATGCATCCTTAATATTTTTATGCAGTCTTTCTCTTTTACTTTATACCAAAAAAAATCTAAAGCATTTCATTACTATAAATTTATTTCAAATTTGAATGAGGAAAATTAAGATTTCATTTCCTTCTGAAGCATTTGATTACTTAAATCTTGAGTAATGTTTTCTCCTAAAGATTTACTACTTTGTAGCTGAACTCTTGTCTTTATTGCCATCTGTGTCTTAATCCCAATTTAAACCCAAGCTTTTGCTTTTTGTAAACTTTTATTTTTCAAAATTACAAAACTTTGGCTCTCTGACTTTGTTAGAACGGACAGAATTAAGTAGCAGCTGATTTCTTTAAAAATTTGTAAAAATAATTTTACTGAGGAAAAGTTAAGAAAAGGGGTACAGAAGCACTTATATGTCCTTTTTCCTTTTTTTTTTTTCCTGTAATCCCAACTCCAGGTACTGCACAGACTACTTCAGGAGGACAGGTAGAATACAGAGCTCTGTCTGGAATTTCCTACATGGCATGGTATCATTTTGTTGGCCTTATCTGGACTAGTGAATTCATTCTTGCCTGTCAACAAATGACGATTGCAGGGGCAGTGGTTACTTGTTACTTCAACAGGTGAGTGCAGAATTGCCCCCAAAAAGTTTTGGGAATTTTCCAGCATTTACTTTCAATCTTTTTCTAGGCAAAATAGTCACTGCAATTTATGTCGCTATCTTGCAATCCAACTTAATATAAAATAATGTTGCTTGTTGCAAGAACTTGAGTAAGATTTTACGATGCCTGTGGTATTAAGGTGGCTCACCTCGACTGCTGGGGGTACTGGACCAAATTGAGCCTTGATACAAGCCAGTGGAGCTCAGGTGACTCGGGTGAAGTTGCCATCCATAGGGCACAGGCTGCATTTGACCCTTCTCCAGGAGACTGACTGCATGAGCTCCAAATGGAGATGCAATATATAGCTCCTCAGTAATTTCATGTATTCATGGGCAGTTTGACCTCTTCCTAAGTGTTCATCCCTGCTCTGGGTTTCCATTTGTTCTGGCTGCATAAATGCCTACTCTGCTACTCTCTTTGTCATTCTGTACAGGTTATTTTCAGTTAACTGTAAGTGCTTTAACACCCCTGTTAAGTATCTAGAGATGCATAAACAAACTTTCTTGAATTGTATTTTGCCTTAAAATGTAAACATGGAGGAAATGAGCAAAAATCTCTACTTTTCATTATTTATACTGTTTTTTAGACTTGCATTACTGTAAAATGAAGTTATATTGATTTACTGCACTGGAGCTGTGCTATCCTGTTATTGCAGGCAAAGATTTAAATCTCACAATACATTGTTGAGTTTTTTGACAATGAAGAGAGTAGTATCCTGAAAACATTTTTCCTGATAAGTATTTTATGAGCTCTCTCACCTGCATTGCTCCATTCCCCTACGCCCAGTGATAAGGTTTTCCTATCTGTGAAAAACTCTGGCGTTTTAAGGCATTTCTTCGTTTTGTATTAGAGGAACGTGGTGATAATCTCAATTTGTTGGAAACTGAGCCCTTGAGGAAGGTGAGCTAAGGATGAGTCGAGGAGCCTGGTGGGAGAGGGACTGAGGACCCCAGAGCACTGGCTGCAGCCACCTGGGACCATCGGGCTTAGACAGCTGAGAATGGAGGCATTCGGCTTCTCCAGGACCTAGGTAGCAGGTTTCTGTTGGTGGCCTCTAGAACGGATGTTCCAGTTGCTGATAGAAAGGCTTCCTGCTGAAAGGTTCCCAAATGCTCTGCTCCCCTCTGCCCAGCAGAGACAGCAGCAGGGACCCCACTTGCAGGGGCCCTTGCTCCAGCCAAAGCAGCAAAGCTGGAAAACCTGCTCAAAGATAGTTCTTGCGGTTGCTTTCAGCGATGTTTTGCCTTCCCATCCAAAAAGCCAAGGCAGTGCAGTGTTTAACACGTGTATCAGGACCTCATCTCTGCTAGGGTTCTTTATGCAGCCAACAGGCGTGTCACTGAGCTGGTGCTAGTAGAACAGCAGACAAAGCCTAAAATGCTGCTTTTTCAAAGGTTGAGGTCTCTAGACAGTCTCACACTACTATTTTACATGCCAGGATAGGACTGGAAAAGGGAGGAGCTCTCATTTCTTATGTCATCTCCTTTTTCCTATTGAAGCTCTAAATCCAGGTAAACTAGTGTGGCTGTGCTTCAGTGGGTAATGGGCTGCTTTTTTCTTCTAAGTAAATTTATGTTCCTCAAGCTTTAGCCTTTGATTCAGCTTTAGCAGCTGAATGCTGAGGCACTAAGGGCTCATTTAAATCGGCTTATTTGAGAAGGCACTGGAAAGCAGAGCAGTTTCACTGACTTTCTGGGTTGTGTGCTGCAGTGTGTTCTGGTACCATACACCATCTAAATCCCCGAGGCAAGGACACTGTCCGTATCTTCTTCACGCAGAGCAGGGCAGCACCTGTAGAAAGCGCTGTAATGACATTTACTGCTCTGCTAGGGCCTTCCGCTTTCCAGCTATTTTTTACTGCTGCAGGAACTGGCTGCAGAGTACAGGAGGTTCCTGCACCCAATTGTATTGAAATCATTTTGCACCTTCTCTGTTGCCCTCCTCTTGCTTGCCAGGGGATGTGTACTGTGTTGAGAGAGTTGTGCTTGGAAGGGGAAAATGCACTTTTTCTGCATTGGTGATCCCTCTCCCTGGCCTTTAGGCTGTCGGCACGGATCCACAGATCCACAGAGCGGTGCAGGAGTGGGGAGAGGATGGTTAGCTGCAAGGACAGTTGCACCATCCAGGGCAATGGTTATCTCAAGCTGTTCCAGCAATTCTGAGCTTGTCTGCTGTGTGTTTTTAATGTGTCCCCTGGGGCAGCATCATAAAGGCATGTCACAAGAGTTTGTTTATGATACCTCACAGAGAGGCTTTCTTCTTGGCTTGTAAGTGCTGGGAGGAAATGGCACGGCCTTTCCCTGCGGAAATCTCCTTCCACAGCACACGCAGCAATGTGCCGCCTGGCCAGCAGCCACGGTGGGGCTGCAGATAGGGAGGGCAGGGAGTCATTTCAGCTGCATTAGCTTTGCAGGTGACATATGTTTGACCTGTAGTACCACCACTGCAAATGGGTTTTGCCTTCTTTTATTTCAGATGAAACACAAATACATGAAAAATTTTATTAATTTAATAAAATAAACAGAACTTTTCTGCTTAATGATTGCTTTTTATGACTCATGAAAAGAGCTCAGTCTTTTAAACAACCTTCTTTGTTACTATTGCCATTTTACATCAGGGTTTATTTTCACCTTGGTGGGCTTAGGTGTTATGTGCGTATTTACCTTTTTTCAGTGAGATGAGTGTTTTCCCCTCTCTGGGATTGTGGGATGGCAGCTTGATCCATGTCACAGGCATCAGTGTCCTATACATGTTTGAGCTTATTCAGTAACTCCAATGCATGTGTGTTACCGCATGAAATTAAGGAAATATAGGAGCATTATCAGGATTGGGGCTTTCCACCCAACTCTAAGGTGTTCAGCCCCACAACTTCCCATAGATGCAGTGAGAGGTGAAATACGTACGTCTCCCAGTAAGTCAAGAGTCCAGGTTTGTGGATTTGCACCAAAGTCATTGAGAGATGAACTAGGACTAATTTTTTAAAGGATTCCTCTTCCCTTTTCAAATACGTCTGTAATATTTATGAGCATCCTTTGCCCTGTGTACATACGCGACCTAACCCGTGTAAGAGAACCATCAGCATGTATGTAGTCAGACCTGTCCCTTGTGGTTTTGAGAGCAGGTAAAAGGGTAGTTGGAATTACAGTCTGTCTGTTCTCTGTTAGTTCTCTGTAATGTCTCTTTCATGACAAATCTCGGTTTTTAAACAAACAATAAATTATGAGATTCATATTTACTTGAGGAATATATGATTAATTCTTTAATACTGGTAAAGTATTTTACATTAAATCTCTTTTAGGCAGTCTTTGAAACAGATGAGGCAGAACTGAAGAAGACTATAAGCACAGTTCTGAAAAGATGGAGAGGCTTTTGAGGAAACTTTTTTTTTTTTTTTTTTTTTTAAAACGTCATCTTTTGGGTGTATCAAGACTACATTTTTCTCTTCACACAAAAAATGGTTTTGAAATGAAAGCTGAGATGCATGTGTGATCATTTGATTCAAGGAGCTCAGTGTTAAGAAAGATATCAAGGGTCACAGGGCTCACAGGAAAATGAAGACAATTGGCAGCACCGAAGAAAGACAATTATTAAAAGATGATGTGGTGTTGAGTACAGGATCACAGTCTTTTGGAATAGTAATGTTCTATGTAAATTAAACAATCCTGTGGTAAGATAAGAGAGGAATACCAAGGAGGACAAGCAAGCTGTGGCCCTGCTCAGTCTTGTAGCCAGTTCTGTCAGGCAGATTCCTGTTCTTCCCTGATCCCTTGTGTGCACACACTGGAGTCTGCACCGCAGAGTTCAGTGCCCAGTGAACTGCCTGCACAACTGACTCTGCTTGTGCTAAAGTCACTTCAGGATTGCAGCCATATAATGTACAAAGCTGGGTGACACTTCATCGTTAGGGGTAATTGGGTGTAGGTGGATGATTGAGTCAATCTTGAGCTTGTGTAGAGTCACAAGCATCACCTGTTGTTGTGTTTAGCTACCCCTTCTCTGTTTCCTACCCTGAGCCAGAATCACAAGGGAAAATCTTTACTCTTTTTCTAATCTGTTTGGAAGCAAAGCAAGAAACCTTGTCAGACCCTGTTCTTGTGAGAATTCCTTTACTAGGAAAAGGGGGTGTGGAAAAGCATCCAAATGTGTAGAAATTTATTTAAACTTCAAATTTTGACATTTCTGCTAATTAATCAGTCCTGTTAAAAATATCAAAACCCTTCTTCATTTTTCTCTTCAGTAGCAAGTAAATTATTAACACAAGAGTAAACTTTGTCATTTCTGTATTTTTTACCCTTGGTTAACATTTAACTTGCAGAGACTTAATCTTTTATATTCTGAGATCTGACTGAGACTGTCATATGTAAGGCAGTGTACAAAGGAAAAGGAAACAATGGTACTATATGGACAGAATATTTAATCTGTATTGCGATGTATGTGTTTCTAACACAGAAACCTGATGACTTAAAAAAAAAACCCCAAAACCTGCCTTATTCAGTATAAAATCCCACTATCCCCCAAGCTGTTCCCCAAATTGTAAAACCAAAAATAATAAATGTAGCAACTGCTTTGCTGGAATTTCCTATTTAAAATAATGTGGTATATTCACATATTTAAATACAACATCTCAGCTGCAAAGTATTTAGTGTTTTGAATGAACTGCAGTGATACCTTCAGGATTCTTGCATACTGTGACACCTATCTTGATATAGTGTATATGATTTAAATCCTTGCTGAAGTGAGGGTTTATTAAAAATATATTTGTAGAGCTTTTTAGCCCCAGCCAGTTATTCTCTGATCACGGTCTTTCTATTTTTTTTAGTTTCTTATGCAAACTATTATTTTTCCAAGATAACAGAAATTTTGAAGGAATCACTTATGCTTTCCTTTGGACTAAAGTGAACATTCAGATGAAGTCAGTAGGAAAACTGGAGTTGTTCAAGTGGGAGTGGAGATACTAGCTTCATTCTTTACATTTCCAAATACTGAAAAGATACAATGTATATCTTCTTAAATAGGTTTCTAAAACATTTTAAAATTGTTTCTTTTTCTTTCTAGAAATAAAAATAACCCACCACCTCACCCAGTCCTGTCTTCCATATCAGTTCTTTTTTGCTATCATCTAGGAACTGCTATAAAAGGCTCTTTTCTAATCACAATACTGAGAATACCAAGGATTGTTCTCTTGTACCTTTATAATACACTAAAACAAAAGGTAGGTATATAATTCTGTAACACTATAAATATAGTAGTTAAAATATGAGATTCATTAAAAAAATGTGAAGAATATACTGCTTGCTTAAAAATTGATGATATGATGTGGATTTTGTATTTTATCACATTTCCTTCATTAAGAAAGCTTTTTCCATGTGCTTCCTTCATTCTCTCAACTCAGATATTTATAAAAGCAGAAAACACCAACATTTAAACCCACCTTTATTTAGTAATTGTCTATAAAGGTTTTTATGAAGGATAAAGGAAAAATGTGGCAGAATGCTCCATTTAAAATATTTTAATCATAAATTTTAAAAAAATCAAAAGTAAGAACATTATTGTTGCATATAAAATATCTTATAGAAAATATTTTATCTACCTTGTAATACGAGTTTATAGAAAGAAAGTATGAAATAAGAACTATTCCAGAGATTTGTGTAGGGTCCAAATGACTTTTTTTAAGATACATTAAAAATATAGCTGGGCTGTTTTGATTGTTGCTTGCCTTCTTTCTGTCTTTCGTGCACCTCCACATCTCTTATCTTCTGCTGGAAGAATACCATTGCAGTTAGTTCTGGCACTTTGGCAAGGAGGGAGAGCTGTCATGACTGCACAGCTCTGATTTTAGACGATGATTTAGGCAAAGGTTTTAAATGTAAGTCTTTTCCTTCAGAGTTTACCTTAGCCTTGAAGCATGTTATGTGTAGTTATGACAGGGTATTTACATTGACCATCCCCAGTACCTATGAGACGTGTGTGGGATACAGTTTGTGAGTACTTAAATAAAAGCCCCTTGTAATAAGATACTTGAAAAATGTCTAAGTGTCTGGGTTTACGGCACTTTAGTATGAAAGCTCTGGTTATAAAACTCGCTGAGTTGGGTCAACTAAAGAAAGTCTTTGTTTAAAGATGATAGGTGGAATGAGTTGTGCTAGAAAGAAGATGGAGTATTTTCTGCCTCTAGAGGAAGTGGAGTAAGTGGACTTGTGGTACACAGTTTTGTAATCTGAATAGCTGTAGAAGATTTAACTAGCAAAGAAAGATATTTTTTTTTGTGTGTATATAGCAGTGTGCTACAAGCTCCCTTTTGGTCCAGTTGCCAAGTATTCAGCTGATGATGTGACATGACTCATAGCTGTAACTGCTCCTAAAGAGTAAAGTACTCAGGCCAGGTCGTGTCCCTAGTCCATAGAAGGATACCCCTCCCACCCCCCCCAAAGTAACCTTGCTCCTTCATGTGGGAGAAAGGATAGTTATGGCCACTTTCCATTGAGTCTTTTTCCACAGAGGGCCAAATTAGTGGTACAAAATGATGGAGAAGTGATGCTGTGTTCTTGTAGAGCTCACCCAGACTTTGCCACCCTTGCAAGAAATGCTGCTGTTTTCTGTGAACAGGAGGAAAAGTCAGGGGACTGCAAGCTTGCAGATAAATTCACAGATGTTTACTACACAGCAGCCTTCAAGCAGAATCAGAGGAGATTGCAGTTGAAGTAAAATCATCTCTCCAGCAATACATGGCAAGATTAAAGTATTTCTCAGCTGTAAGGATTCTGCATTTTGTTTGCATGTTTACATTTTAAAGCAATTATTCCTAGAATACTTCCAAAAATGTCTTTGGAAAAAAGTTGGAAGGTTCACAGTCTCTGCATGAATAATGGTAGTTGTGGGGACCCGAGGTTTTCATATACTGACTGAGAGGTCTCTGCTTTCCAAAATAAAACAAAACCATACTGGCCTCTGGCAAAAGAAGGTTAAAAAGATGCGGGTATCACTGAACTGCATTTCCTTTTGTTGAGAAAAAACAGCCAGTTAAATCTGAAAGGCTACCGTGGCTACCAAGTTGTCTTTTTCTTGTCTTGCTTGGTAAAATCTTTATACGATGAACAGTTCTGAGCTCGTGATGTGATGGGGGTGGATGGGAAACGACCAAATTCAGAGCTTTTCTGCTCTGTTTTAGGTATGAAATTAATATAGATAAATGTTCTGTTCTAATATGTGCTTTTTCCTCCTGTCCCAAGAGAGGAATGTATGGTCTGAGTCAGTACACACACATATGCGTATATGTCCTTCTGCCCATTCTTTTATTTTTGTTCATTAGGGTACCAGTCATTTCATAAATAAAAAAGTTAAAAATCTTGTCAGCATACTCCCTGATCGCTGCAAAGTATTGTAAGGGTTACTGACTTGCCTGCCTGGTTTTTTTTCTCCAAGCAGCTGTTAGCTCACAAAGCTGTTTGCAGAACTTATTTTTTCCCAGAGAAGAATCTTCCATCCACAGGAAGGAAAAAAATACGTTCAGCTCATCAGTCATTAATACTGAAGGGTCTGAATTAAAAACAGTTCCTATAATCCAAAAGGAAATATCTGCTGCCTAAGTGAACATTTTATTTGAAGAGTCAGTCACCTGCAGAACAAGTTTTTCTAAAATGGCAGTTTTGTTTGGGTCTAATTCTGTGTCCAGTAACCAAACGTTTTATTTTATTGCAGGAGAGTGCATGTGCAAAGTGCCTGTTCAAGTGCTGTTTCTGCTGGTTTGGGTGCCAGGAAAGTTGCTTAAGATACTTTAACCAGGTACACTCTATCATTTCTCTGTCATTCAACCATCTGCATACCTCGTCTCGAAACCGTGCGTGTGTGCTAGCTCCATTTCCCGTAACTAAAGCAGCGTCCAGTGCAGGCAAGCCAAACTTTCCTGCTGGCCACCTAAACTAAACAAACAAAATAGTCTTCAAGTGTAGATGGAACTTGTTGCAAAGAAACAGGGAATTTACAAACATGCCAGGTGCAAGATTTGAGAGAACTTGTTAATGCAACATGAAATAGCATTTTCAGAGGGCCACTTGCTATTTCTGAAGGTAAGAAGACTAAACATTTTGTTGAGTTGTGTTGGACAGCCTACTGAAATACAGAAGGTCTGAGTGGAAGGAAGAAGTAAGAAACCCACCTGGAGATGTGTCATTAAACTAGATACAGTAATTTTCCACCTGAAAGTCCCGAGTAGAGAAACTTGAACTCCTGGCTGATTTCCATTATCAATATATCTGGGAGTATGATCCATGATGAAAATGCCAGATGATATAATATTCTCTTTCTTTGAAAGACATCTTTGTTTTGTTAGCAGTTTTGTTTCAAAAATGTTTTTACTGGAAATGGATGATTTCTGACATACAGCAATTTTTCAGATACTTGACTCCTTTTTCTGTCCTCATCCTTTTCTCCAAATGCTTGCCAGCTCTATATACATCATTGTAAATAGTTAATTTTTCTCTTTGTCAGTCCCCTTTCGTTATCTCTGGTGGCTGTGGTATTCTTAATGTGAAAGGGAATCAGATGTTCATGCTGATTCCGAACTCTGTGTGTTGCTTTCTTTGTTCTCATTGCTGAGGGCAGTAGTGAAGTAAACAAGAGAGTTCTGGTTAAGGGTCTGACTTCTTCTCTAAAGTAAGTGCATAAATTAAGCTTAATCTTAGATAACTAAGATGAGAAATTTTTTCACTTAGTTCAGCCTAGATTAAATGTTTGTGCAGTGAAATATCTGGTTCTAGACGATGAATTTTCCAGACTTACATTTTTTAGGTAGATCTGATGGTCACTGACGTGGTGAGGAATCTCAGAGTTAGCTTTGACTCCAGACTTTCCATTTGTAGTCACCTTTTCCCCTTGGCTTCCTGCCTTTCAAAGAGATATCCAGCATCCTAGTGTTTACTTTCTCCAGCTGTTGTATGCTATGTAATTGTTAAAAGAAGAATTAATTGCTGTAATGTTCTTCCTTTTGTTTCAGAAGGCTGTATTGTTGCTCTTGTTCCCTTAAAAGATTTCCTGTTTCCTAATCTATTGTAGGCAAATTTCTATTTTTAATATGAGTTGTGATTTTTAACCTAATGATCCTCATACTGTGTTTCTGTTAGATAATTGTTTGTTTGAACATCTTTTTGGCAAAGATGATGGTGTTCCACATGCTCCAAATCCAGGGCAATTTGGGCGAGGGTTAGAAGAGAGGAAAAACAAGAACAGGCTGTAAGATTTTAATAGAAATTTTATCTGTATGAAGGAGTAATATTGGCCTCAGATTATATGCGTTTCATAAAGTGATTAATGTATCTAATTAGTTTTTTCTTTTTTTGCTGTTAAAATTTTATTCAAGCCTGATTCTTCAATTTTGTAATGTCTGCGCCCAAATGTAACAAAGAAAAAAAATGGGGAAGAAAAGACACATATGCAGTTTTAAGCAGCTTTCTGAAGGTAAGAAGACAATACCTCTGTTAATCAAGACACATGTCTTGATTAACAGAGGTACTGAGCTCTTTAGAGCTCTTTCTACCATCAGTGAAAGCTGCTGAGTACAGCCTTGAAATTTCACATAGGTGTTGAACATGGACTTGAGTCTAGGACTTGGGAGGGGTACAAAAATTGCTTGGACCTTTGTTTTTAAGATTTTGCAAGTATTTTTTAGTTCAGATTTTGACTTTGAGTGAGTTGAAATCACTGAAATGTGGAACAGCTGTTATAAAAGTCGACCCAAAGCTCATTTCCTCGTTTTATTTTTGTCTTTTATTCCAGCCTTACTTTCACTATAGTAATAAGTATATAATTACCTGAAATTGTAAAAAAAAAAAAAAAAAAAAAAAAAGCCTTCCCATCATTTCTGCATTATTTTATTCAACCCGTTGCTATATTGCTTAGATGATTTAAATTCTTTCTGCTCCTTCATTTAGTCAGGAGTAAACAGAGCCCCTTGTTCTCCGTCTGGGGACCTCGCAGTTGAGAAACAGGTGCTGGAGGAAGTAACACCAGTGGTAGAGCGTGAGCTTCTTTCTTCCCATGTGGTATCAACCAAGTGCCCTGTTATATTGTCAGAGAGTACTTTTCAGGCTGAGGTGCCATCTTTCAGGTGGGATTTGACACTGACTTTGATAATTGCATGCATCCTTGAAGTCAGGCGTTCTCTGCAGGCTCAGCTAAGTTTTCTTGCGCTCTCCTGGAACTTAAATGCAACAGGATGAGGAAGGTACCCTGTCATCCTCCCCTTGTGAACAGAGTGCTGTGCTAGACACTGACAGTCGTCGTATTTCCAGTGGCAGTTGTTGGAGGAAGGGTAATGTAAATCCAGGATCCTGTGCAGATTGCAATGTGGATAATTACATTCTGCCTTCCTAAATTTCTCTTGGTTTTGCAACTGGATCCTGTGCTAAACTGTGGTGTAGTGTTGCTATGTGCTGTTAAACAGTTCACTCCTTAAGCTGTTCCATTTCAGTCATGGGCAAAGTGATTCATGTGTGTGTATAATCCATTAGTAACAATTGTAAAGCACTCTGGGTTCTATCTGGATGAAAAGTGCTTTGTGAATATAAAGTCATTATCCTTACTTGACAGTTCTGTTTGCCAACACTTGTCAGAATTACCACAGATTTTTCGTCTTCTGGCTCTGATGGTTTCAGTATGTTCCAGATAAACATACCCAATCATCTCAAGTAAAATCTGGGAGATTGAAATTTCTCTTCCGTAAAAAGAATATACTGTTATTTTAATGCGGTTTGGGAGCTACAAGGTCTGTTTGTCTACTGCTCTCTTAAACTGTAGTGGCAGTCTTAACTTCTGATACATCAAAGCACTCGCTTTTTTTTCCTTTACAGCCTTATTGCAGTGACTTTTTTTTTTTTTTTTTAAAAAAAAAAAAAAGCAATATAGCTATTTCAGGATAGTTTTGCTTCTCCTTGTCTGCTTTGGGTTCACCCACAGCCAGTTGGCAAGCAACCGCTCCGAAGTGCAGCACATGGATTTTTGAAGCAGTTGCTGAACAGTATGTGGTTTCTCTATTTTCATCAGCGCAGTTACTTGCAGCGTAGCCTTCCGGGCCCTGTGGTGGCCGTTACTGAAGTCGTCAGTGTGTTAGCCTGTGCTTGCTGGTACTGAGACCCTTCACTGACACTGAAACCCAGCAGCTGTCTAGTGTGAAAAACCAGAAGCAACTCTGTCTAATGGTCGTGTGTCTGTGGCGGTTAGTTGTCTCTTAAACTTTGGATGGAAGCCTATCAGGGGGTTGTGATTAAATGCCTTGTGGAGAAGCGACCTACATAAAACCAAAATTTATGCATGCTAATGTAAGTACAGTTCTCCTCTGCACTGCCAGACACATTGTGCCTCACCCCATCAAGTACTTCTTTTTCCTCCCAAAAACAATACTGCATTTTAATGTTACTGGCAAAATTTCTTCTAGATGTTAAGCTAAATTTTCAATCATCTGAAAAAACAGTAGGCTAAAATGTTAACCTTCAGTGGCATTGTATTTTAAATATGTTTGTTTTACTTCTAGAGACTTTATATATGCGATAACAGGAAAAAAAATTCCTTTGGTCTTTACTTGCGCTGTAGGGTGAACCATGTAGGGGATAGAGATGAATAAGAGCAATTAGTTCTGGGTTTTATACCTTCCTTCTTTCACTTATCCCCTGTAAAAAGGAAAAAAAAAAAAGAGAGAGAAAATAAAAGGCAATGAAGAAAGTGACCAATAATTCCGTGCTTTTAAGCAGAGCAATTTACAAACAACTCTTTGGAAATGTTTAGTTTGGTTTTCTTTCAGAAATCCCAAGTGAGAACATTGTTGCCCTAACTGCAGAAGTCACTGTAAGCAACTCCAGTAATGATGTAATCACGATGCAATGGAGACTTAAACCAGAATGTGGTCCAGTCCTGTGATTGAAGTGAGGCCCAGGTGCAGCAGCATGATGCTGCAGAAAAGGACACCCAACTACCCTCCAAGGAGAAAGTTGTGTTGGTCCTATCCACCAGATGACAGCCATGGAGAGAGTAGATGACACGCAGAGTAGGAAGCAAGGACAGTAAGTCCAGACTGAAGATATAAGGTGGAACAGAAATAAAGAAATGTTGTGCTTCTTGGACTGCTTGGGAAAATTCAGGAGGCTACTGAAGGGTCTCTTACAGATGGTAATTAGCCTAAGAATTAAAAATAACTATGTCTGTATTAGCTGTGTGCTTACTGGTTGGAAGTGGTGGAGGAGAATATTCTCCATGTGTTTGTCAACCGGAGGACAAAAACCTTTAGTTAACAAGGCTGCAGAAAGTGCAGGTTCAGTCCTGGAAGGTGTGAGATTAAATACTTGTACCAGAAAGAAGGAGATAAATGCCATTGTACAAGTTGCTGGTTAGGTGGTCAGGCTTATCTCACAGGGATGGGAATATCCTGGTATGTCTACTTTAACAAATGAAGGGGAAGAGCAAGCCCGTTTGCCGTCTTTGAGTATATCAAGAAGAGAAACAGCAGGGAGGGATGTGAGCCAAGGCAAAATCAACAGAAGAATGAGTAGATATAAACTGTTCATGAGTAAACGTTGTCGGGAAGTTGGAAGAAGGTTCCTAAGGACCAGAGGGACAACTGTCTGGAACAGCTCCAAATGTAAGAACTGGGAGAGGGAAAAGCCCTAAGTAGTTTGAAGAGGGAGCTTTCCACTAAAGAGAAGAAATCGCGTAATGTGCTAATCTGAAATAGCCAGAGACTGGAGTGCCTGGAAGCCCCTTCCAGCCTTGCACGTCCTCCTCTCCTCAGCGGGGCCTCACAGGCCCACGTTGCTCTCATTTCCCACCGCTATCTGAGAGAGATGAAACAGCTCTCTCACCGGGTCACTCGCTGCTGTACGGCGGCCACGGAAATGTCATTGCCTCTTGCTACCACTGGATTTTGTTTTCTGAGGGGATTCCACCGGCAGCAGTGACGCTTGCGAGCAGAGACGCTTGCAGAGCCAGGCCGAGCCGCGCGGCCTTGCAGTGGGGGAAGCTGCCCAGGGCAGCCCCCACCAGAGCCGGCAGCAACCAGACCAGGTCAGGCTGAAAATACCAGCAGAGCAGAAAAAGCTGAAGTGGGATGTGCGACCAGCATGTCTCCTGCTTCTTTTTTAAGAAGATTCTGTTGCTATGGCAATCCTCTCTTCCCCAAGCTCATTTTTATTAAAGCGAGTCCTAGAATGGAGGGCTGAATTCAGCTGTTACACAAAGTAGCAATTATTCTCAACAATTGGGGAACTTATGGCCTGGATCTGAGCCACAGCGCCTTTCTCATGAAACTAGCGGGTCAATTTTTCCAAGACCCTTGACATTCTGTGTTGTGAGGCACAGAAAGATGTATTCTTTAAATAGTGTTTTTTGCATACTGTGGTATTTGGAAATATGTAAACATTCACATTCCTTATTTATTCACCCTGACACCGAGAAACTAGTGTCTAGTTCCCAGACTCCAAGCCAGAGGAGGCTTGTGTTCTTCACAAAGGTGGTGATACGGTACCAACTTGCTGGTGCAAGGATAAAGGCTGTTCCTGACCCACTATCTCCCACGCTTTCTGATCAATGCTATACTATCGATGCCATTATTACTTGCTTGTCGCCGTAGCAGAGACTACCATTGTAAAACATCAATTCATTAAGCAAAGATAAAAACCCTAATAGCTACACTGGGCCAGACTGAGTCTCTGTCTAGCTCAGTGTCACATCTCCAGTGGCTGTGAGTGAATGCTAAGGTAGAACAAGTCTATAGTTCCCTGTGCTGTTTCTGAATCTGTTTGCAGCCTCGGGACTTCTTGAGCTGAGTGTATTTTCTGTGTGTTTAACAACTCTCAGTGGATTCCTTTTCCCTGAACTGTCCCAGTCTCCCTTGAGCTCATGTGAACTTTTAGCAGCTAAAGCATCCTTTGTTCAGCAGTTCACAGTTTACAGACTTACAGTGAGAAGAAATACCATCTGTTTTCAAATTTGGCTCCTGCTACTTTGTGTGGCCCTCCCCCTGCCTAGTCTTTTTTGTGGAAGAAACAGTCAGCCATCTAACCCTAGCTACCCTCTCCGCATTTCTCATCATTTTGTAGCCCTCTTAGTACATCCTCCTTCAGTCATCTCTTTTCCAGGCAAAAGAGCCTGATGCACTAAATTGTTCCCAAGCAGAAGACATTCCATACCTTTTGGATCATTCCTGCTGCCCTTCTCTCAAACATTTTCAAGTCCACTAAAGCTTTTGTGCATGGGAAAAGAGAATACGTTCTGTAGAAAAGCACATTTAAATAGCCTGTTTCTAAACAATAGCAGGCTCTAGACCCTGGTCAACCATCTTCGCTTTTGCAGCTAGCTTTACTTTGAAAGGGACTGGGTTGTTGCACGTACCCTGCAACTAGAAAGTTAATGGGATATCTAAGCTTCTTAGTCCAAAGTCTGAAATGATTTGTAATATTGGTCATAGCCTGCGTGTGTTAGGTGTGGTGGGTAAGGATGAGAAATGATTTGAGCTCTTTTCTGTGCAACTCTGAGTTTTGTGGAAACATACATTTGCTTAAATGTTAGACATGTATTTTGTTAGTGAGACTGTGTAGATTTCTGTGTGGCTGGATGGGATCAGGTTATAGGATCAGTATGGGAGACAGGGGAATTGTGAAGAAACTGTATGGATCCACAGTCTAGGCTGAACAAGAAACCCTCCAAATATTCTTTTTTCTCAGAAATGTATTTTTACCGGAAGGTAGAGATGACTTGGCTAAGTCTTCAGCTTGTACTAGTTAACATTCTTGCTTCACCTATGTCAATGATTAGTTTTGTAGCCTTCAGCAGTTTGTTCGTTTCTGTGTCTCTCTCATTCCTTCTGTAATGTTGGCTGCCTTTCTTGCTTGGATGTTTTGACTAGTTGGTACTTACATGATTCGTTGAAGTTGTAATTGTTTTAAATGCCGTTTTTTATCAACTGGTTTGTAACGTGACAAATCCGTATGCAGGTAGCATTCAGTATTATTCAGTGTTATTTTCAGTCTTTCCAAGATAACTGTTCTAGTTAATAAATATCAGAAATTCTTTTCGTTGCACATTCCTCAGATACCAGAGTGGCTAATTCAGGAGTGCAAACAAATGGTTATTTATTTTAAGTTTTGAAGCAATGTTTGTACAAGTGCACATGCACTTTCAACATTCTTTTTAATTTTTAAAATAGGACATTTTTTGCTATTTTTAATGAATACAGAATCTCTGTTTAATTTATTGGCAAAATTTATACTGACCTCACCAGATTGGGATCTGCTCTGTGAATTTATTTCTTGAGGGACAAAAACAAACTTAGAAAACCCTTTTCCACTTAGTGTCTCAATTAGACTTAACTCACAGCATGTTATAAAGATAGGTCTATCCGTGTTTGAAAAACGCAGCAGCAGCTACAGATGGCAGACAGAGAGCGAAGCCATCCACCCTGCGCCCGTGTCTTAGGAAGATGGTAGCCCGGGAACGCTGGCACTGGCCTCACTGAACTGCCAGCTCTCCTCCTGCTGCATTCTGGGCTGATGCAGTGGTGGGCAAGCTTGCCGGCCATTGGGCTTCAAACCTCTGGGGATGAGGGAGGCAAGTGGGACAAGGATGCTTCTCTTTCTGGGGTGTAGGCAACCAAGGCGGCAAAGGTATTGTAGTCAATGCCTGACCAAGCCAAAGGGTCCACCTCTCTGCCGGTCCTGTTCCAGCACTCCCCGGGGAAAGGAACAGTGTCAGAATAAATGAAAGTTAGCACAGAAAGCATTTTTTCCTATTTAGGAATGAAGCGAACTTGCTTGTTTAAACAGATTTTTATGCAGACCCTCTACGTGTTGCTGTGGAGTTCAGTGGAGTCTTTGATTTCTCTTAGAGTAGGCAATAAATCCATGGTCTTTATTTATACTTTTTCCATCTATGGATGTATTTACTACTGTGTAAGTACAATATTTACAGGATGTCACTGTTTATTTCTACTCTTTTTGCCTACTATCTGAGGAAAAAAAAAAGCCTTTGTCATATATAAAATAAACAATATCCACAATAAAAAGATGTAGGACCTTTGCATTTAATTTCTTTCTTTCTTTGTAATATTTTAAGATAACGTTAATATAGCTGTGCTGCACTATGGTATGTTACGGAAATTCCTATGGGGTAAAATGGGACTCTGCAGGAATAAATTTTCTCTGCCTTCAGATATCTGAAGCTATTTTATATTTTGATTTGTAAGTGAGAATAAACAGATTTTTGAACAGAAAGTGTTTTGCGTTAGGCCAGTATAATTCAGCAAACAAGGTTTGTTGGACTTTTTTCACTTCCAGGTGAAGAAGAAAGTAATCTAAGCACCAAATACATGTTGGGGTGTATAAATTCCTTCAGAACAGTAATCCCTTGCGCACTGTGGTTTTTACTAATTGTACCAGATGTAACTAATGTTTTGTGGCATAATCCACCTTCTAATACTGTATACTCTTAATATAATATATATTATATGTATGTATAATAATATTATATGTAATATTATTATATACAATATATGTTGTATTATTATAGTCTACTTCAATATAATCTTACTACTCATAAGACTTGCTGGTAAAGTTCAGCATACATTTCAGGTATCTTGAGTGCTGTTTTTCTTAGCTGATATTTTGGACACAGTTTCAAAACCTTGTTGAGGAGTTCCATAGATGGGACATATATGTCAATTTATCTACAGCAAGTGCTAAAAAAATCCAGTCCATGAAGGTAAATATGCTGTCCTCCCCACATGTTTCGGCAAGCTGCCACAAACAGAAATCTTGCAAAATTCTCAATGGCTCAAAAAACTGTGAGTGCCCCTACTGTCTGTTGAAATTCTGGATTTTTTTTGTGACATAACACTGATCTAGTCCAAGATCCTTTAGCTTTTCTTTTCCAGTCATTTTCACAGTTGGTTTCATCTGTCATGAAAAGGTTTATTTTATGGCCATAGTCATAAACTTAAATTTCAGTAGCATATAAATAGTTTGAAAGGGCCTTGTTTAAAAGCTTTTTAATCATCAACTTTTAAATTACTTGATAACTACACAATTCGATTGTTCCACTTAACAATTAGGGTAGAGAACTTATTTTAAAATAAATTGGATAAAAGTGGGTTCAGAAATTTATTTAATCACTATTCTAGCATTTCCTAATGGTGGAAATTATGTAGAAAAACTATTTGAAGTTAGAAGCACAGTTATTATAGTCACTTAAAATAAAATAGCCATACTATGCAAAATAACTCTTTATATCCATAAAGTCAGTATTTCCAAATAGAGTTTAAGGGTTTGCATTTTGCTGAAGTAAAATCTTGATTATAAGAGTCTTTCCTCTCTCACTGCATTATTATCTTCTCCCATTTCAGCATGCATACACAACTACAGCCATAAATGGGACAAATTTTTGTACATCAGCAAAGGATGCTGTCTTTATTTTGGCAAAGAATTCTGCTAAACTTGCATCCATTAGCTGTTGCGGAGATTTTATCCTATTTCTAGGAAAGGTAAGAGTAAAAAAAGTACTGTTCTGTAAGAATGAAGTGAAAAATCGGGGTTTGATTCCTTTTTCTTATACCTGAAGTAAATAAGGTTTATCTTTGTTAAACTCAGTGTTGTTAAGTGAGTTTGGGAGAGAAGATAATGTTTGAGAAATTTAATTCTTTTCATAGTGTCATAGAGTTATTTAGTTGTATTGCAGTGGTGTGCAGGCGCCACTCTTACAGTTTTTGGTAAACACATAGTAAAAGATTCCCTCTGCCCTACAGAATTTATACGCTGAATTGAACACGAAGTGTGACAACTATGTGATGCCATAAACTGCATAGTATCTCCCAGATGAGATGTGCTGTTAAAATATTGGCTGTAATGTTGGCCTTAGGGTTTGGGGGGGTGTGTGGTTTTTTTATGAAACATTTCTACATGATTAATGAGGCTGCATTTCCATCTCACTACCCTTTATAGGTATTTGTTGTATGTTTTACTGTTTTTGGAGGATTGATGGCATTTAACTACCATCGAGAGTTGCAAGCTTGGGTAGTTCCTCTTCTGCTGGTTGCATTTTTTGCCTACGTGATGTCCCACTGCTTTTTGTCTGTGTTTGAAGTGACAGCAGATGCCATGTTCCTTTGCTTTGCTATTGATATGGAAACAAATGATGGATCTGAAGAGAAGCCATACTTCGTGGATCAGGAACTGTTGGTAAACCTCAGTGATAACAGCAAAAATACTTGAGCCATTCTAAGCTTTTGGGGGCTTCTTCTTTCCCCATGACCTAGTAATTTGAACCCACACCCCATACTATTTCCTTTCCAACACCTTAGAACAGGGTAGGCTCAGGGGTACAAATCATATGTGAATTTATAAACTGAATGGGTCCCTCTGGCTCCTGCATGCTAGCCTCCTCCTAGCTATCTGCTGCCGCCTTTTAGACCATGGCCTGTAACAAATGGCTGACTTTTTAGGCCTTAGTAGATATGTTCAACATATTATTGGTAATTAAAAAATATACATAAGTAGACGAGCTAGCTGCAGAGACTCATCCATGGGGTGCTCTAAGATTAAATGTTTATATTTGTTGTGACTTACTGTACAGTGATGAACAAAAGTAAACAACAAGGAGCTTCTTGTTGCCAGCAGCAGGTCAGGTATCCATCCACATCCTATGGATGATGTAGTTCTGAACAAACTTCATGGAAACAAAGGTTCATACCTGTACAGATTCTTATGCCAAAATACTGTCTTCTGTCCCTTGATTAAATGCTTCTGCTTCTGGACTGACTGTTCTGTGTCTTGACCCTCATAATTACTGTATTGTATTACAAGCATTTCCATGGAGAATCATTATGTAGCTAATAGTGATGGAGAGCTTTAGTTAATAGCTGTATCTGAAGCATTTGAATGTATATATGCCATCCCTTTCATATTAAGAGAATATTTGAAGATGCAGATGTTTTTTTCCTTTCATGCTTTTTTTGCCAGTTTCGTCTTTTCCTTCATAAACCACATGACAAAGAAAATCATAGTAATTCATGAAAAACAAACTCAGCAGCCAGAATAGCTCATATAATACAAATCTTCTGGATGGATTTCTTGAGGACAGTATGAGAAGAACTGTTTTGTTTTTTTTTAATGCTGCTGTTAGATTTCCTGTAATCTCCATAGAATTTTGTTGAAAACAAAAAACAACAAAAAGGCAGCCTAAGGATAAGCTTTAACCCTTTATACAGAAGAAAGCAGATGGATATTCTTTGGCCTTTATTCAGAACAGTACTTAAACACATGTGCCGAATAGGAATATGTTACTGAATGGAAAACTCTGAAGCCTTGACCTCTGTTCTTCTCCCTCTGCTTTGCCAAATGCTAACGTACCTCTTAAGCCAATTCTCTGTCATGAAACAAACAGAGGCTTTCCTTTCTCCACTTCCAAACTTTGTCATCGTTTCTCTTTAACTCTGGGCTTAATTCCTTATAATTAGCCATGCCTTAGGGCTTTGGGTGAAGAGGGGACTTCCCATGGGGGTAAGGAGTCTTCCAAGGAGGGCAGGCTGTATAACCTTGTATGGAAAAACTGAGGGCCACGCATCCAAACTCCTCCTCGTTGCATAATCAAGAGTAAGTTTACTCACGTAACAAAGAACTCTGGAGTTCACCAACAAATGAAGGTATTTGACTTGGGACGTCTGTGTTACAGTCAGGTTACAAACATCTGGGGGTGGAAGCGGGGCTCTGTGGCCCTCAGGACAATATGTGGCAGTGCGCGGAGAGCCGGGGGAGGGATTTCAGACAGACAGTCCTCATTCCTGTAGTAGGAGATGTAACTCTTGATTCTTCCTTCTCAAGTGGCATTCATCACCCTTACTGCCTCCCGGTATCACTCAGTGTCATCCAGCTAGGAGCCAGCCCTGGGTTAATTAATTAATTTTACCAGGTATTTCTATTTACATAATGGTTTGCATTCCCAAATGATCTCACTCTGGTTTTTGCTTGCAGACATTTGTGAGTCAGAGTAACAAGTTAACAGGAGGGCAAAAGCACAGAAGCACGAGACCTTTCCAGGACAATGAAGATGGGACAGAGCTCCAACCTATGGTGAGACAGGAGTTAGGGATGTTTATTTATCTGCCAGTTACTGTGTTTGCCTTTATATCCCAAGAATGGATGTAGACTCTCATGTATGTCCTGACATCTTACAGCAACCAACATGCTGTACCCAGTATCCTGGTTTTCCTTCTGTTGGTTTCCCTCCTCAGGAAACCCTCTGTTGGAGCAAAATGCATGGATCAAATACTTTTCTCAGATCAAATACTTGCTCTCATCCTTCTTCCCATTCCCCAGTGTGCCCAGGAGGAGAAAGACTGGACAATGGCAAGGGCGTGGGGCATAAATCCTGTGAATAGGCCTTCACATGTCTGCTGTAGCAAAGTCAGAAGAGTGGTAGGCTGCTTGATTTCACACTGAAACTGCTGAAGTTCAGAGCTGTAAGATCAGAGCTTAGAGGCCTCTCCACCCCCACCCTTTTTCTTTTTCTTTTTTTTTTTTTTTTTTTTTTTTTTCTGTTTGTATTTGTCTGCTGTAGCAAAGTCAGAAGAGTGGTAGGCTGCTTGATTTCACACTGAAACTGCTGAAGTTCAGAGCTGTAAGATCAGAGCTTAGAGGCCTCTCCACCCCCACCCTTTTTCTTTTTCTTTTTTTTTTTTTTTCTTTTCTGTCAGTGTATGTATTTATTTACTCAGTTTTATGCTGGGGTAAAAAAGCTGAGGTGCCAAAAGGGAGTGTTACCCCACACCCAGGCTTGGGAAAATCCTGAGAGTAAACACCCACAAACTGACTTCTGAAAAAATATTGCAAATTGCCCAACCTGTGAAGTGCCCCAGCAAGTTCAAAATCTGGTCTGATTTCCCCCCAGCATAAGGGGAGACAAGCCAGGGCTGCTGGAGAAAGATTCTGCAGCAACAGCTACTCTGGCACCTACTCCTGCTGGACACAACTACTAGTGTCTTTGTGTCCTCCAAGCTACTTACAGGAGTGTAACAGATGTTGGTGATTTTTCTTGATCTGCTCTCAAGAGGTACCAGATTCCAGTGAATTCTCACACAACCCTGTGGGCGTTCTGCTGTAGGCAGCTGGGTGACAGAGCACTGCTTCAGCTTAGTGCCACAGCAAGGGACAATTGTACTTGAGTTTTTTCATTGTTTGGATCTGCTACTGCATTCTTCAGTAATGTTTTGCCGAGCACAGATACTGGGGGTGCGTAGGGGGGGTTATTCCCTGTGATTGTGGATTTGAGACACAAAAGAACCTTAATTATTTTCCCAGTTTACCCTTACGACATTAAATGCAGTAACAGGACTAGTGCTACGCATTACTTGACTCCTTTTTTTCCTCTCTTTTGTAGACTTGAAGTGCACCAGGAAGTATGAAGGCAGACTAGCAATAGCAAAACCAGTCATAGAAAAAAAAGGTTGCCAATACCCCAGGACAAAGTATTAATTCTCAAAATCTCTGCTGTACCTTCTGCACTGGTAAAATGACACAATCTGTTTGTATGAATAATGTATTTTCTGTGTCAGCACATCTGATTTTTATTAATATACTTGTTACAATGGTCTGAAAAGTTGTTAATAAACACACTCCTTGTAAATTTCTATGTTGTCAGACTAAAAATACTAAGTTGACAAGGTCATCAAGCTGCCTGTTTTAGTTTTGTGGTGTGTCAACTAATATGGGGGGGGAGGGATTCATGCTTCTCTGGGAACACTGGGCCAGTCATCTCTGGACATAGAAACATTTGTAGAGGAGGCATTCTGAGATAACTGCTTCCTGAGTTATTCTGTATATCTGAACAGCCAGTGCACCCAATTAAGGAATTGTGCTGAGCTCGTTGAAGGAAACTACCATTGATAGAAATTCTCTGTAGGCAAGATAATTAACGGTGATGAGGTAGGTGTGTTTCTTTTAATTATACTCTTTTGGGAATGGTTTTCACAAGCTAGTATCATAAACTATCCGTTGGATCCTCTCCAAAGGGCAGATGAGGTGTAGTCCTTTTTTCGTAAATAAAAAGAAACTAGCTTCCCTTTGCAACCAAAGACAAGGGAAGCAGAAAAAATTGTATCTAGATTTAAAGCTTGAGCAAGTAGCAGGTGAACAGTGGCTGGACAGAAATGAGATAAAAGGATGTTATAATACTACTTTATAGAAATGTTAGCTGAAATGTGGATGAGAATTATAAACTATCATGGAGGGATGTAGAGAAGAGACTGTTCAGGCTCTAGTTGGAAAAGTGACATAGTAAGTGTAGACACTTTAAAAAAAAACTTGGTACCAGTCTGTCAGCATTTTCTGTGAGCAACTCTGAGGTTTGTTTAAACGTTGTACCTGGACTCTGACCATAATACGCTTTTGTGGGCTACTGTGGGGTAGTTTTAGATTTTACTCAGTGGAACATAGTTTTATTCTTTGTTGAAAAATTCCTTTAACTTTTTGTTTGAGGAGGGAAGATGACTCCAACCAAGGACTTCAGTAAAGTATGAATCAGTATAGGAAGTGAGACATTAGTGCAGGTAAGTGACTCATAAGCTGCCATAATGAATTGATTGATAAGCCTTTGATTAGTCACAGCTTGGAAGTGACAGACAAAAAAAGCTCATTCACAGCCTGAATGACAAATCTGTTTTATCTAAATACTGTATCTGATCTCCAGGTGTTGAAAGGAGACTAGTTATCTGCCAGGGAATGCTAAGAAATACTTGCTTTTTGTTTTTCATTTAATTAACTTTTGCCTAATTTAATATGAGCCACTTTTACCAGTTGAGGAATATAAGATAGATGATGAAAAGGGGAAAGAAATAGATTAATTACTTTCTGCTTGGCAGGTGAAACTGGTCATCTACTGGCTGTAACTCAGTGCCTCTCATTACTTAAAGCTGTACACTTGGGTACTTCCAGTGCCCGGCCTGTGGATGCTGTGGGAACTGAAAATCACGCTAAATAAGCAATAGCTCTTTAACCGCTTGCAAGTTAAAAATATGTTCTTACTACACACTGGGTTTTTTTCTTGTTTGTATTTGATAATGGCACTGCATGTTTTTGGCCCTTGACCCAGAAACTCTCTGGTGGAAGAAAGGGAGGGAAATTTCTACCTCATTTTCAGCCAATCCCTAGATGACCTCCAGAGGTCCCTTCCAATCTCAACAATTCTGTGATTCTGCTCATTGCAATTAAAGAAGGTACTAAAAAATCCCAATGAACCTGTTTTAGTGTTTCATTTAAGCAACACTGTACTGCCCATAGTCCAGAAATTAGAACTGTGATAATATTTTTTTACAGAAGACTTCTGAATGTATGCCTTTTAATTAAAACTCTGTACACAAAGCATAGCTTTATAGTTTTCAGGTGCAACACAGGCCCTCCCAACCTTATATGCATTCCACTAGCAATTGTCAGTCAGCCCCTCCTGGGTGGCAGGAGTCCTCACCTGAGTTAGAGGGATAAAGCAGTCCTAGAGAAGCTGATGCTGTTTAGTGCTCGTTTCTCACTGCAGGATATTGTAGTCAGGCACCTATAAAGCCAGCTGGAAGCAGGTGGTGGGGCTGGATGTAGGCACAGCTCACGTGAACACACAACTAGTGGTAGTTCAGGTATTGATGCTTGTCCAAGCCACTTCTGGTATTTCATTGTCTGCCCTGCAAAGCAGCCCAGTACTGTGCAGACTCTTTCCTGCAGCTATGAAGATTGGATTCAGAGGAATTAAAGGTACTTTTATAACTATATTCCTTAGAAATAGGAGGTGGGAACTGCTGGTGTTTGTATAGCAGGAAATGACTAAGTATTACAGCTTATTGCTTTAAGCAAGGCAGTTTGCATTTGGTCTTGCTTCATGTCTACTTCAAACTCTCACTTAATTCAGTTACAATTCCACTGGCTACCTCTGTGGATGAAAGAAAACAGGCATACTGACAACAGTTTGTGTGTTGTTTTGTTTCCTCTGTTCAAGTAGACACATAAGGAAAATGTACAAGCAGTTTAAGGCATAAGTTTGGGATTCAGAAAGAGCAAGGCAGCATGGTTCAGGCTTTCAAAAAGAGACCCTGCTTTCACCCAAACTATGAAAGCAATGACCCTTTTGTTGTTGATTGTAGCACTGGTTTTACAGCATTCAGTACAATAGTTCTACATTGTTAAATGCTATTATTTTGATGGAGGGAAATAATATAGTTCCGGAAGAGTAGGTCTTAACAGACTTCTTGGTGGTAATTCTCTTGCCTGACCTGTAGGGCAGTGACAATGTAGAGCCTGGACCAGTGACTTCCAGAGATCCTTTCATATCTAAATTCTGTGAAATAAATAAGCTTAAGATTTATTCAACAAATAGGTCAGTTAAAAGTCAAGTCACCACACCCCACCCAAAGACAACGGAAACTAATGGAGCAAAGCACAAACAATTTCTAGTCTTGAGGGAAGAATCCTTTACAAGTCCAGAACTTGCAAGTATGAAACATTTTATACGTTAATAAGTTTAATCTGCACTAAATGCTTTTAAAATACCATTTTGGTTTTCTTTTTACAAAAGTTAGGATCAGCAACAGTGGGCCCCCACTGATAGCATGCTCTTTTTTCTCTTGTTAAAAACAGCCCAGGTAAATTAGTACAGCCTGTCTGCACTCCATGGTGAGGAAGAAAGCACTTTCCATTCAGGAATAAAGCTCTGCTATCGGTAACTAAAGAACCCAGATTGCAGACCGGCAGGCACAAAGATTGTTGTATCTCTTTACATGCAAGCAGGGGTGTTTGGAGTTCTCAGAGTGATGGAATGAGAGCTGTTGGCTGAAGGAGAGGCAGCGCTAAATATGTGCAGCTCATTTGCCTCGAGAAAAGGGCAGGGATTTAGTGAACAGCTCGGGATCTCTGGTCATAACCTCGCAGTCGCATAGAGAGGAAGTGAGCTCTGCTGTAAAGGAGCTACATTCCTTTCCTGTTAAGTCACTGTCACTTGTTCCCAGGGGATTTTTACAAGGTTGTTAGATTAAATCCCACAGAAAAGATAGTACCCAAACTGCAAGTGACAGCCGTTCTACATTACCCTGAACGCAGGCAAAGGTGATTCTGATTTGGCAGTAATTTCTGTGGCACCTAATCTTTAAGAATGGTAGCATAACAAATGAGACAGGATCTTCTACATACCTTTAAGAAAAAATATTTATTTATAAAAATACACTGGGATCAGTTTGAGAAGTGGCAATAAATACAGTTCAAGGAAGAAAAAGCATTTCTACATGGATATATTATGGCACAATAAAAGGTAAATGCACCATCAATCATGGGACTTCTGTTGGCTCAAGACTTTGTACAAGCTCCCTTTTTAGTAAGACAACTATTTCTAAGTTTGGTCAGTGTTGATAATGGAATGAATACACAATCACAAATGCACACTTATGTCTAATGCAGGACTTACCATTAGCAAACAATACCTTAGAAACATAGTAATGATATTTAAATCACTAATGTGATGTCTTGGATTTAATTGGCAAAGACCACATTTAACATTAAGTATGAAATTTCTCATCTGAAAAACAGAAAAGCTGTAAATATGTAAAATGAAGGCTTAATGTGGTATGTAAATACCTACTTAAGTAGAGATTGTGAAAATGCATAGCTCCTCATTAGATAACCTGGCTGTACAAGAGCGCTCCCCCTTTCACAGTATTCCTTTTACTTCATATGCAGTTATTGTTTATGCTGTAGTCTACAACTGTTACAGCACTAAAGGCAACTAGACGGGGAAAGGGCAGAGAAAGGAAAAAGGAATGTATGTAAGGCAATATTTCTTTAGGTACATTAAGCATAGCGTGTAGGAAAGACAGGTAACGATTCCACAAGGCTAGTTTCGTTCTTACTGAATAAAATAATGGACTAATACTGAACTTCTGATGCAAAGCTAATAATCAATGCCCTGGTCACTGTACTGACCATGGTAATCTCTTTGATAGTCATCTTGGTACTCTCCGTGATAGTCATCTGGGTACTCTGCCTGATAATCGCTATCGCTGATTTCTGACCCGTTAGTTCCTGTTCCTTGGCTGCCGTTATGAATGACGGGTTCTGTTGGCGCAGCACAGTACTTGGGGTCATACACTTGTCGTCCAAGCCCATACACACTCATTCCCTTCTGCGAAGCTACTTTGTTGGTACCCATTTGTAATGAAATAGTTGAGTTATCCACAGGTTGTAATATGTGCTTCTGATCGTAGATGTCTCTCCTGGTACCTGGTGCCAGCATACCAGCCTAACAAAACAGGATTGTAGAGGTTCAGTGAGAAGGTCAAGAGCTGCAATTACTGATTTATGATTACAATTAGTATACCTTACTGGAAGTGCTAGAAAATAGGAATTAAACTATAACAAAGCATAGCACAGCAGCATGTGTTCACTAATAGGTAAGTCACAGAAGAAAGTCCTTGCAGAAAGGTCCAGTTTATTTCCCTCTTTGGAGAGACTATTCTAAGTGTTCAGACTGTTTGCACCCAGGAAGCAAATTCTTTTTTGCCTCTGCCTAGTTACTACTTGAACTGAAGGTACTGTTTCCTTCTGGTAAAACGCAGCCAGTTGGAAATTCTTGAAGCACCAGGTCATTTTTATGCCTTAAGA